GCTTCGATCAAATATTTTTGAAGGGAAAATAAAAGCTGTAATGCCTTTTAGTTCGTGTGACTTTAATCCTTGAGAAATAAAAACAGTCTTAAAGATTACTGGTAAAATGCAAATGTTGTTGTTAAAATGTAGACAGGTGGTCTAAATTATACGGGACAGATATTAGGTTTGCTAAATGTTTTACAGTTATAAACTGCTTCTTTTGACTTTGAGAACTGTTCAACTTGCCTACTTTACAACTTGGCAGGGCCCAGGACTTTGGTAAGGGACTTAGTAAGGCTCTTAATCTTAGCAAATAACCATTAATCATATAATCTCAGTAAAATGTTCTAAGAGGAATGGACATGGAAATTTTTGTCTAGGGCTAAAGGATTATTTTCAATTAGATAAGATACAGCTAAAGGTTTAAAACAAGTTATGGAAGGTTTCTTGCAAAAGAAATTCTGTGTGTGAACACTAAATTCAAAAGGGTATTATCTGTTTTTCTGTAAATAATTCAGCATTGAAATAAAAGCACAACAAGGTTTTCTTTTTCTTTTTCTTTTTTTTTGAGATGGAGTCTCACTCTGTCGCCCAGGTTGGAATGCAGTGGCACGATCTCGGTTCACTGCAACCTCCACCTCCTAGGTTCAAGCTATTCTCCTGCCTTAGCTTCCCAAGTAGCTGGGATTACAGGTGCAGGCTACCATGCCCAGCTAATTTCCATTTTTGTTTGTTTGTTTGTTTGTTTGTGTTTTGAGAGGTGGTCTCACTCTCTCACCCAGGCTGGAGTGCAATGGCGCGATCTCGGCTCCCTGCAACCTCCACCTCCTGGGTTCAAGAGATGCTGCCTCAGCCTCCCAAATACTTGGGATTACGGGGATGCACCATCACTTGGATAATTTTTGTATTTTTAGTAGAGACAGGGTTTCACCATGTTGGCCAGGCTGGTCTTGAACTCCTGACCTCAGGTGCTCCACCTGCCTTGGCCTCCCAAAGTACTGGGATTACAGGCGTGAGCCACCATACTTGGCATCACTTAACTTTCTGAGAAACTGCTAAACTGTTTTCCAAAAATGACTACCATTTTATAGTCCACCAGAATGTATGAGGGTTCCAACTTCTCCACATCTTTGTCAACACTTGTCGTCTGTCCCTTTAATTACAGCCATCCTAGAGGGTGTGAAGTGGTATCTCATTATGGCTTTGATTTATACTTCCCTTATGTCTAATGATTATTATTTTCTTGAGACAGGGTCTTGCTCTGTTTCCCAGGCTGGAATGCTGTAGCGTGAATGGGGCTCACAGCAACCTCAACCTCCTAGGCCCAAGCAATCATAGCTGGGACTACAGGCATGCGCCACTGTGCTCTACTAATTCTTACAATGTTTTTAAGTATCTGCTTTTGGTGAAGAAAAAAAAAATTTTCTTGTAGAGATGGGGTCTTGCCATGTTGCCCAAGCTGGTCCTGAACTCCTGGGTCAGGTGATCCTCCCACCACAGATAGTCACCCAAACTGCTGGGATTATAGATGTAAGCCAACACACCAGGCCTCTTTTTTTTTTTTTTTTTTTTAGAAGGAGTCTTGCTCTGTTGCCCAGGTCACTGAAGTGCAGTGGCACAATCTCGGCTCATTGCAACCTCTGTCTCCCAGGTTCAAGCGATTCTTCTGCTTCAGCCTCCCAAGTAGCTGAGATTACAGGCATGCACCACCATGCCTAGCTGATTTTTGTATTTTTAGTAGAGATGGGGTTTCACCATATTGGCCAGGTTGGTCTCAAACTCCTGACCTCATGATCCGCCTTCCTCAGCCTCCCAAAGTGCTGGGATTACAGGCGTGAGCCACTGTGCCCAGCCTTTTTGTTTGTTTGTTTTTAAAGAGACAGGGTCTTGCTCTGTCTCCTGGGCTGACGTACAGTGGCTCAATCATAGCTCCCTGCAGCCTCAAATTCCTGGAATCAAGCAATAATCACACCTCAACCTCCTGAGTAGCTGGGCCCTCAGATGCACACCACCACATTTGGCTAACTTTTAAATTTTTCTGTAGTCAGGGGTTCGCTATGTTGCCCAATCTGGTCTCAAACTCCTGGCCTCAAACAATCCTCCAACCTCAGCTTCCCAAAGTGTTGAGATTACAGGCCTCAGCCACCACGCCCAGCCTGATTTTTTTAAATGTGCTTATTGCCCAGTTGAGTATCTTCTTTGAAGAAATTTCTATTCACATCTTTTGCCCAGTTTTTAATTGGGTTATTAGTCTTTTTTATTGAGTTCTAAATATTCTTAATATATTCTGGATCTTAGACTGTAGTGAGATATTATTATTTCAAACATTGTCTCGTATTCTGTGTGCTGTCTTTTTGGTTTCTAGTTGGTGTTGTTTGACAAAAGTTTTAAACTTTCATGTAGTCAAAATTATCCATTTAAAAATCTTCTGTGTATTATTCTTTTTTTTTTTTTCTTGAGACACAGTCTCACCATTGCCCAGGTTGAAGTGCAGTGGTGCAATCTCAGCTCACTGCAACCTCTGCCTCCTGGGTTTAAACAATTCTTGTGCCTGAGCCTCCCAAGTAGCTGGGACTACAGGTGCATGCCACCACACCTGGCTAAATTTTGTATTTTTTGTAGAGATGGGGTCTCACCATGTTGGCCAGGCTAAGCTTGAACTCCTGGCCTCAAGCAATTCACCCGCCTCGACCTCCCAAAGTGCTGTGATTACAGGCATAAGCCACTGCACCTGACCAATTGTGTATTATTCTTGCAACATTTCTGTACATCTAAAATTATTTCAATGTTGAAAATGAAACATTACATATAAGCATACTAAAAAGTTTAGAAAACCATTCACTAAACTATCAACAGGGAGTAGAAACAGAATTTTTCATTTTCTATCCTGTGTTTCTTTTTTTCCTGAATTATACAAATGATGCAAATTCTCTGTAGAAATTTTAGAAATTAACACATTAGTAAACCTACCATCCAAAAATACTTTTTGAGATTTGACACATCAAAACCACCATATATATTCTTAGCACATAAATAATCATTTATATGTTCTTACATAAATATATAAACATTTATAAAATCTAGAATCACTTGTTTTATGGGGAGGGAAGGCCATGTCAATAATGTAGGAGGATGGATGGCCCATGGACTAACAAAAATTTCTGTTGTAAATGTTTGACACCAAGGGGAAGCGCTTGACCTGGGCCGTTCAATGGGTGATGCTTGAGCTGGCTTTGGAAAGTGAATGCTCTAGTCAAGGAATGTAGATGCTGTGGTGATGGAAACACTTGATAGTCAGGTGGGCTGGAGGTAGGAAGGAGAAGGTAAAGCTGGAGGATACTTGATTTTGTTTTGAGTTTTTGTTTTTTTGAGACTGGGTCTTGCTCTGTCTCCCAGCCTGGAGTGCAGTGGTGCCATCACAACTCACTGCAGCCTTGATCTCTCGGGCTCAAGTGATCCTCCCACCTCAGCCTCCCAAGTAGCTGGGACTACAGGCGCACACCACCATGCCCAGCTAAGTTTTGTATTTTTTGTAGAGACGGGGTTTCACCATGTTGCCCAGGGATGGTCTAGAACTCCTGGACTAAGGGATCCACCCACCTCAATCTCCCAAAGTGCTGGGATTACAGGCGTGAGTCACTGTGCCTGGCTGAAGATCCTGGATTTTGAAGGCCCCTGAATGACAGTGAATGTGATGCTATAGGCCACTGGGCTTCCTTGAAGAGTTCTGGGTAAGGATGCAGTGTGGTAAGCTTTATATTTCAGACAGTTTATGAAGTTGTGTGGAGGACAGATTGGGGGAATAGGAGCATGAAAGCCAGGGACAAAGCTGGGCAACCATTGAAATGTCTATAATACATTTTGTTTCCTAAGTACAAACATAGAGGTGACCATGTGTCCTGGCTGGCTGGAGACAATCCTAAATTATGGCTTTGGTCCCAGAGTAATTATATTAAGAGCCACTTTCATGCTCAAACATGTCTCAGTCTGAAGATTAAATATCATCTACATATACACAGCAACAAAACTTCCACAATTCTTACCTTCACTGTGTGAAAGGCACTGACATTTTTTTCTCTTTTTTATTTTTATTTTTTATTATTTTTGAGACACAGTCTCACTCTGTTGCCCAGGCTGGAGTGCAGTGGCGCGATCTCAGCTCACTGCAACCTCTGCCTCCTGCGTTCAAGTGATTCTCAAGTAGCCTCTCAAGTAGCTAGGATTACAGGCATACGTTACTATGCCCAGCTAATTTCTGTATTTTTAGTACAGACGGGGTTTCACCATGTTGGCCAGGCTGGTCTCGAACTCCTGACCTCAAGTGATCCGCCTGCCTCAGCCTCCCAAAGTGCTGGGATTGTAGGCGTGAGCCACTTCGTCTGGCTTTTTTCAAATGTTGGTTGCAACCTATTAAATTGATTTCGTGACACACTAAATAGTTCATAACCCTCAGTTTAAACAACTCTGACCTACACGCCTGCCAAGTCTTAGGAAAACAGGAAGGAGACAGCTAATTAAGTTTGGGTGATGCATAGTCTAAGGCATTGGTTCTCAACATTGGCAGTGCAAGATCACGTGAGGTACGACTGAACACGGAGATCTCCAAAACTGCGGAGAGTTGTGCATGTTCACATATGCACAGACATCTACATGGAAATGGCTGTAACGCATCCAGCCATAAGGCGTACAAGGGTATGTATACTTACAGAGTTAAGAACCACTATTCTCAGGAGTTATATGACAGCCTGAGAAGACGCCCAGGATGTAGGAACAGGGAGCAAGCGAGCATTTGGCACCTTGAGGGTGCTCCGCGCGTCTGGTAAAGCCAACGAGCCCCTCCTCTTCGCTGGCCTCTCCGGGGCCTTGCTGACCAGTGGTCGAAGCCACAGGACCGGGTGCGGGTGGCCAGCGTAACCGGGGCAGCCCCGCGGCTTCCCCTCGGCCGCGCCAGGACGCTCTGCACGCGGCGACGACGGCCCCACAGTTCCCCGCGCGCGCAAGCGCAGGCGGCGGCTCCCGGCGTGCAGCTCGGTGGCGGCTGACCCGGCAGCGGGCCGCCTCAGGCAGCCCTGGCCGGGCCGCCCGGGTCCCCGGCAGCGGGGTAGGATGGCGCTAAAGCGGATCCAGAAGGTACGCACTTTCCCACCCTCCGACTCTTTGGGTGTCCGAAGCGTCGAGGTGTGGGCGGGGCGCCGCTGCCGTGAAGTGAAAGGTGACAAAGGCTCCGCAAGTCGCGGATACACCTGCCTAGGAAGGTGGCCGAACAGCCACCCGCGCAGCCTGAAAAGCTAACGCAGCCTGAGAAGGGGATTGCGCGAGCGCGGGGCGGGGCCGGGCCGTGACCACGTGGGCTGCGTCACGCTGGCGGGGCGCCGTGGGGCCACCTGCAGGCTCCTGGACAGCGGGTTGCTGGGTCCCCGGAGTAAGGCAAGCTTGCTCCTCTAGGGTATCCAGAAGGGCTGGATGGGTATCCAGAAGGGTATCCAGAAGGGTATCCAGGATGAAGCTGGGTCCTAAGCGATGAGTAGGAACTCGGCAGGTGGGGAAGAGGGAAAAAGGCTTTCCCGGCAATGGGGAGACCACGAGGCCTGGAGGACTGACAGGATAGGGGAGAAGCTGAAGGGCAGATGGTGTGGACTCGGGTGGTCCTTAGGGGCAGTGCTGAAATAACTGATTTTTATCCTGTAGGTAAGAGGGAGTCCATGAAGGTTTAATGCATTCACTAGGATTTGGAAAATGCACAACAGTAGAAGAAAGAAGTATTTCTAATCCTATCACTTTACTATTTGTTAACATTTTAGCATACCTATGTTCAGTTTTTTCTATATTTAAAACAATTATCCTGCATTTTGTATTCCACTTATTCACATAATAGTAAATGTAAGCATGTTGTGAAGTAGTATTTATAACTTTTTTTTTTTTTTTTTTGAGACAGTCTTGCTCTGTCGCCCAGGCTGGAGTACAGTGGCACAATCATGGCTCACTGCAGCCTCAACCGTCCGGGTTCAAGTGATCCTCCCTCCTAAGCTTCCTGGGTAGCGGGGACTACATGCCACCATGCCCAGCCAATTGTTTATTTTTTGTAGAGACAGTGTCTCACTATGTTGCCCAGGCTGGTCTCATACTCCTGGGCTTAAGCGATCCTCTTGCCTCTACCTCCTAAAGTGGTGGGATTACAACGTGAGACACCATGTCCAGTTCTGTAACTAATTTTTAACATTAACTTTCCACAAGTACATGACTAGTGACTTATTTAGTCATTACCTGTAGTAGGTAAAACTGTAGTAGGTAAAAGTATGAACTTGGGTGTCAGACCTGGGTTAGAGAATGTGAGGTCACTTATAGTAGGACCTTGGGTAAGGCACTTAATCATTCCTAGCCTCCCAGTCCTACATGTTTACAGAGTTGTTTCGAGAATTAAATGCTATGAAATGTGTTTAGCACATGCTTGCTGTATACCAAGCACTCAATATGAGTTAGCTGCTGTTGTTCAAAATTCTTCACTATTTGCTGTTATGAACTTTGTATTAGGCTGTTTTGTTTGCTATAAAGGAATATCTGAGGCTGAGTAATTAATAAAGAAAAGAGGTTTATTTGGGTCTCAGTTCTGCAGGCTGTACAAGAAGCATAGTGCCAGCATCTGCTTCTAGTGAGGCCTCAGGAAGCTTACAATCATGGCGGAAAGCAAAGGAGAAGCAGGCGTGTCACCTGGTAAGAAAGGGAGCGAGAGAGATGCCAGCTCTTTTAAACACCCAGATCTCGCATGAACTAATAGAGTGAGCACTCACAGATTATTGTTGGGGGGCTACCAAGCCATTCATGAGGAATCTGCCCCCATGACCCAGACACCTCCCACCAGGCCCCGCCTCCAACACTGGCGATCACATTTCAGCATGAGATTTGGAGGGGACAAATATCCAAACCAGATCAACCATCATTGTACAGTGAGCCTTTTCCTTAATTCACATTACTGGGTTTGATTGCCAGAGGTGGAATAACAGGATCTCTGAGAGTATGACTCTTCTTTTTAAATAGCTGTCCAAAAGAGATAATTTTGATGAGTTATTCTCTGAAAGGGGTCATCTGTCATCCTAGGACTTTGAAGCAGGTGAATGACGTGCTGAGATCTGTGTTATAAAAAGATCCTTCTGGCGGCAGTGTGGCCTAAAGTGGGACAGAGGGAGACTAGAGGCTGTTGTGAAGATTCAGCAGAGGCTTTGCCCAAATTAATGACCATGGAATGGATGCTAGGCCAAAGCAGTGCCTGGACCACATTACAGAAGTGGAATTGACAGGACTTGAGGAGAGGATGTGGTGAAAGTGAAACAAGGAGGTGTACAAAATGGGTCACAAAGCAGTGCCTGGACCACATCACAGAAGTGGAATTGACAGGACTTGAGGAGAGGACGTGGTGAAAGTGAAACAAGGAGGTGTACAAAATGGGTCACTTAGTAGATGGTGGTGTTATTATCTAGGATGGGGAATCAGAAGTTTTGAAGGCAGGGAGGAGGGTAGGAGAGATTAAGGAGTAAAGGTTTGAGCCTACATATTCAAATGTATAGGCTGATAAGATTTATAAAAGGAAGGGTTTGGAAAAACAAGTTTGGACCTTGAGCATGAAATGTCAACTATAGATCCAAGGTAACTGAAGTCATAAGGCCAGGGAGAACTTTTCCTTGATAAGAATCAAGGACAGGCTGGGTGCAGTGGCCCATACCTATATCCCAGCACTCTGGGAGGCCAAGGCGGGTGGATTGCTTGAGTCCAGGAGTTTGAGACCAACTGGGCAACACAGCAAAATTCCATCTCCACTAAAAATTAAAAAATGGCCAGGCGAGGTGGCTCATGCCTGTAATCACAGCACTTTGGAAGACCAAGATGGGTGGATCATTTAAGGTCAGGAGTTTGAGACCAGCCTGACCTATGTACTGAAACCCCTCTGTAATAAAAATACAAAAAAATTAGCCAGGTGTGGTGGTGCACGCCTGTAACCCCAACTACTCCAGAGGCTGAGGCAGGAGAATTGCTTGAACCCGGAGGGTGGAGGTTGCAGTGAGCTGAGATTGCACCACTGCACTCCAGCCTGGGTGACAGAGCGAGACTCCGTCTAAAAAAAATAAAAGTAAATTAAAAAAAAAAAAATTAGCTGAGCGCAGTGACACACATCTGTAATCCCAGCTACTCAGGAGGCTAAGGTGGGAGAATCACCTGAGCCTGGGAGGTCAAGACTGTAGTGAGCCTCACCACTGCACTCCAGCCTGGGCAACCAGAGTGAGACCCTGTCTTAAAACAAAAACAAAATAAGAATCAAGGTCAGGACTGGCTTCATGTGTGTGTGATGCATTCAGTCTCACAGGGCCCCAGGCTTGGATGGGCTCTGCCTTTGGTTTTATGCTCTGCTGTCACCATCAGGAAATTCTTAATAATTATTGAACTAGAGACCCTACGTTTTCACATGCACATAATTTGCCCTGCAAGTCCTGGGGAAAATAACAGAACTGTAGGAAATATAACTTTAAAAGTGTGTCAAGCCTGCAGTGGTGAGATAGCACCATTGGGCCACCACTAGTTAGGATGTCTTAGCTGCAAGTGACAGAAGCTGAGCTGCCCTTGTGCATGGAATTGGAGGTCCTGTGGCAGGACCTTGGGAGCAACTCAGTCCCCCTCTCCTGGTCTGTTTCTGTGTCACTCTGGGCTGAATGGCTCTGGGACACACAACCTGCTGGACATCTGGGAGTAATAGAGACAATTGCTTCCAGAAGAACTGATGAGAATGTTCTCAGAAAGCCCAGCAGATGTTTTTTTTTTTCCTTTGCCTTGTTATGAATTATGTCTCATGCTCATTCCTAAACCAATGAGTGGCAAGGAGTCTGGTTACCCTTAGACCTGGAGCTGAGAGTGAGTTGACCAGGAGTCCTTTAGAACAGGAGTCCTTCGGAAAGGAGGAAGGCGGATGGGTGCTGAGCAGGTAGCCAGCAATATGCGAGCCTGAGCCAGGTGTGTGGTGTCTACCAGCTGCCCCTTTAAGTTTCCAATCCACAGCTCTTTCTAACCAACTTCAACCCTTTAAAAATATGTTTTCAAATGAATGTTTCAAATTGAATGTTTTTAGATGCACTTTTTATTTATTTAGCTAGTTTAGTTAGTTAGTTAGTTAGTTTTTGAGACAGGGTCTTGCTCTGTTACCCAGGCTGGAGTGCAGTGGCTTAATCATAGCTCACTGTAGCCTTGACCTCCTGGGTTCAAGCAGTCCTCCCACTTAGCTTTCCCAGTAGCTGGGACTACAGGTGCCTGCCACCACATCTGGCTAATTTTAAGATTTTTGTAGAGAGCGGATTTCACCACGTTGCCAAGGCTGGTTTCAAACTCCTAGGCTCATGCAATCCTCCCACCTCAGCCTCCCAAAGTGCTAGGATTGCAGGTATGACAGGGTTGTATGTGACAGCAGTTCAATTTTTTTTTTTTTTTTTTTTTTGAGACGGAGTCTCACGCTGTTGCCCAGGCTGGAGTGCAGTGGTGCGATCTCGGCTCACTGCAAGCTCCGCCTCCCGGGTTCCCGCCATTCTCCTGCCTCAGCCTCCTGAGTAGCTGGGACTACAGGCGCCCGCCACCGCGCCCGGCTAATTTTTTGTATTTTTAGTAGAGACGGGGTTTCACTGTGGTCTCGATCTCCTGACCTTGTGATCCGCCCGCCTCGGCCTCCCAAAGTGCTGGGATTACAGGCTTGAGCCACCGCACCCGGCCAGTTCAATTTTTTAATTTTTTTTTTTTTTTTTTTCTCTTTGATATGTGTATTAGTCCATTCTTACATTGCTATTAGGAAATACCTGGCTGGACACAGTGGCTCATGTCCGTAATCCCAGCATTTTGGGAGGCCAAGGCAGACAGCTCATCTGAGGTCAGGTCCTGGTCAACATGGTGAAACCCCATATCTACTAAAAATACAAAAATTAGCTGGGTGTGGTGGCAGGCGCCTATAATCCTGGCTACGTGGGAGGCTGAGGCAGGAGAATTGCTTGAACCCGGGAGGCAGAGGTTGCAGTGAGCTGAGATCATACCACTGCACTCCAGCCTGGGCAATAGAGTAAGACTCTGTCTCAAAAAAAGAAAGAAAGAAAGAAAGAAGCTGA